AAGTTACCATCTTGTATTATTTCCCTATTCCAGTATCTTTCCCTCCATCTATCTCCTCTGTGCTGTTATTGTCGAATATATTTCAGCATTACATAACCCACAGTACAATTATATATTGCTTTAGTCAACTGATTTTTAATTAGTTAAGAGGGACAATCCAATTATACTTTTACTATTGTATGTCTGGCTATCGCTATCTTTGTGTTTATCCTATTTGGAGTTTGCTGATTTTCTTGGCTATGTGAATTAATGGTTTTCATCATATTGGGGAGATAACTAGCCATTATCCCTTTGTATGTTTTCTAGTCTTTTTACATGTATGCTAGCATGCTTAGTGGTGTGCCACATTCTGGGGTTCGGTTTTTCTCTGTTCTTCAGAGTATATTTAGCAATCTATCTTTAAATTCATTCGTTGTTCTGCCCATTCAAAATTGCTATGGAGCCCGAAGAAGGATGTTATGTTTCAGTTCTTTACTTTTCAACTCCACAATTTCTATTTGTGTTTTTATCATTTCTGAGTTTCTGTTGCTGCTCTTTGACAGAATACTGCCATCAGCCTTTAAGTGTATGTTCCTTTAGTTCTCTGAATGTATTTCGAATAGCTGCTCTGATGTCTTTCCCTGCTAAGTCTAATATCTGGGCCCTCTCAGAAACACTTTCTGTTGTCTGCTCTCTTCCTGTGTATGGACCACACTTCTGTTTCTTTGTGTTTATTATAATGTTTTGTTAACTGGGTTTTAGATAACACATCAGAGCAATTCTGGATACTTACCTTCCTCATCTACTCCACATCCCCTTTTCCACAAGTTGTTTCCTTATGTTTTTTAGCAACTTAGCGAGACTAGTTCAGTGAGGTTTGTTCCCTCACCTGTTAGTCACCAAAAGGAACAGCCTTGGGCTATGGGTACATCCTTCGCATTTTTTCAGTGGCATCATTCTTCCAAATGACTTTTTGCCCTTTTGGCTGACTTTTTCTTTTTTTAATTTCTTGCTTATCTGTGTCTACTATCATCACACAAGGCTTTCAGTCCCCACTAGTTTCTAGATTGTCTCCACTAATTGTCTAGAGCCCACCTGAGGAATCCACAGCAATAGGAGACCATCCCCATAGAAGTCTGATACTCTTAAAAGGCTGAATTGTTAGTCTGAGAGGAACAAGAAATATTTCCCTTCAGAAACTACAAAGAAAAGTGCATGTCTCCAAACCTAGTGCTGACTGGAAATAAGAGAATGTCCTTCTGAGAATTTGTAACAATGAACAAGCCCCCACATGAGCTTGCAACTAACCCTTATGTTACCTGAATAATCAGAAGTCCTCAAGCTATTTACAGCTGTGCCTGAAAGGACCCATTTTTCAACCCAGGCCTCAAAGACTTTTCAGAAATAATGTTCCAAGACAGTTAAGCTCATAATCAAAAAATATCCAGGTAAATCAAGAACCAAGAGTAAGAAGCCACAGAGATACAAGTAGACACCATATTTAGGTCTGTCAAGATCTCAGATATTAGAACTATTAGCACAAAAAAAGGAAATACATTTAATATGTTTACAGAAATTTAAAAGGATTTGAAAAAAAGCAACTGATGATTAAAAATAACCAGGCAATTTGACAAAATAAAACTTTTACATATAAAAAGCACAGTAATTATAAAATTCACTGGATATGTAAGTTTAAAAATACTAGATATATTTGAAGAATTTGGTGAGCAAAACAGTTCATGAAATAAATTTTTGTAGGATGCTGGGTTAATATTTATTTATTGGTACATTTTACTGCCCTCTGGCTTCCATTATTACCACTGAGATGTCAGATATTAAGATATCTTAACTGTTCCTTTGAGGGTATTTTTTTCCCATCTGGCTCTTTTAAAGAGGTTTCTTCATTTTTGGTGTTTTGCATTTTTACTGTGATGAGTAAAATTATAGATTTGTTTTTATTTCCCATGTTTGAAATTCACTGGGATTCCTAAACAAAATGGATTTTTATTTTGTCTTAAATCAGTTCTCAAAAAACTCTTGGTCATTAACTCTTCTTATATTGCCCTACCTCCATGTTTTTTCCCTCAAGAATTTCAGTTAGACCTACGTCAGATCTATTCTATGTAACCTCTCATATTTTCCATCTCAGCCTCTCAATTACGCATACTATCCACACATTAGTCTTCCAACCCCATTCATACTGTTATGCACAATTAGAGTTTTACGGTTTTAAAACCAAATTCCGTAATTTTTAGAACTGTGTACTGAAGTATGTGTAGGTGAATGATGTAAGGTCTGTATCTTAAAATACATATCCAAAGGGGGAGGGTAGGCTGGTTCTTGAACATTCTAGAACCTGGATGTGGATTTATAGGATTTTTGTTTGGTTATTGTCTCTGCTTTGTGCCTCTTTGAAAAGTTCATGATAACAGAGGACTAGAAACATTGACTAGAGTACATATAACAGCCATTTAAAATTTTTTTCAAAGACAGTGAAAGGTGTCGGAAGCCAATGCCACACATAGACAGGAATTTGGCAAGTTAAAAAATTGATTTTTAGGAATTTAACTTGGCCCGACTCAAAAGGTGCACTGCTCTGTGGCTCTGAAGACAGAGCTCCTGCTGGCCCTGGGTGCAAAGGAGACCCGCATGCTCAGGACTTCACTGCTAAAAATGCACTAAGTGCTTCTCTCAGCAGTGGTCAGAATCAAGCTTAGCCTTCGTCCTCATCACAGTAATAAAATGGACTGTACTGTGTGGGGAAAGGATCAGATTATAGAGCCACGTGAGTGCAAGATGCTTGAAGCATTATTTAACAAAGCAATCGTCTATATAAAAGGGTCATTTTGGAAACCATTTTGGAAAAAAAAATGTGGTAAGTCACTTTGGAAAACATTGGGCAGCTCCTCAAAGTATTAAATATAGATTTATCACATGACTCAGCAATACTGTTCCTAAGTATATACTCAGAAGAATTTAAAATGTAACCCAGGTGTGCTGGCACACACCTGTAATCCCACATGAGGATTACCTGGGAGGCTAAGGCAGGAATCACCATGAGTTTGCAGCCACCCAGGGCTACATACTGAGCTCAAGGCCAGCCTGCACTGCAAAGAAAGACCCTATCTTTTTTTTTTTTTTTTAATTTTAAAGAATAAAAGAAGGATAACATAATAATAGGGGGGACTTAGCAAATTACAGACAAAATGGTAGGAAATTATCAATGGTTATCGTTTTACATATTATTATCTACAAAATAGTTTCTCAGGAAAACAAGTAGACAAATAATAGTGAGTTAGAGACAAAAGAGGTAGGAGATTATCAAGAGTTGTTGTGCTATACTTTGGTATCTTCAAAGTGGCTTCTAAAGAAAATAAATAGAGCTATACATGAGTGACCTATTGAAAAATCATTAACTATTCTCAATGGTTGTTGTAGGAAACACATAATAATAAACATACATTATGAAATAGGATAGGAACATTACAAACTTAACACAGTTATGGATAGATTAGTAGGAAAATATCAATGGCTGCTGTAATACGTGGTGGTATCTTCAAAGTGGTTTCTCAGGAAGACAGAGATATGCAAGAAGGATCTAATAAGTAGTTACAGCCTAAGGGTTGTCAAAAATAGCATATTACCTCCTCACCAGTGACTCCTTTCACTGAGGTATGATGGCTGGAAGGAAGGCCAGGATTGAAAAGAAGGACCGAGAGACTTGCACCTGTGACTAGCAACAGGCTGTTTTCTTGTTCCTCCATAGTCATGATTACCCAGGACTCCTCGATGGAGATGACGGTCTGGCCAGAGGGAGAAGGCAGAGCATGCCCCAAGCCCTCTCATTCCTGTTGGACTAACTGGTAGCATGGGTCTGAGCTCTGGGACCTCCACCTCAGAGGGCAGACCGATCTCCAGTGGAGAAAGACCCTATCTTGAAAAAAAATTAAAAACATATGTCTGCATAAAAAGTTGTATCCAAGTGTTCATGGCATCATTATTCTTAATAGCTCAAAGTGGAATGGGTAGATAAAAGTGTGATTCCATCTACACATGTATATAAGAAAATATTACTCAGCACTAGAAAGGAATGAACTGCTGGCACATGCCATAACATGTGGATTAACCCTGAAAACATTATTCAAAGTAAAACTATTAAATTTAGGCAAATCCATAGACACAGGAAGTAGATGAGCAGAGTTGAAGGGGATGGGAAAATGGAGAGTAAGTGCTGAGGGCTACGCATTTCTTCGACAGTGATAAAAGTAATCTAAAATTAGATAAGATTCTACAACTCTGAATACACTGAAAACCACTGAACTGTAGATTTACATTCAAAAATTTTATCTCATGTGAATTACATCCCATTAAAGCTGTTATTTTTTAAAGAGGAATAGGAGGAGGCGAGGATTTGTACCAAAATGCTTTTATTTCATGCCACTCTTAATGCCACATAGGTACTAAAGTTTTGTCAAATTCAGGAAATTGCATTATTTTCTTTTTTTCTAAAACCTGAGACAATGGCACATCTGAAGTGGAGACAATAAGAAACCCAGGAAATTTCCACTTTAATTCCCTACCTCTGCCCCTTTTGGTTGTAGTAACTTTTCGGCCTGGATGACAGGGGCTAAGAGGACTGAGACTCTTCTGCCATGGGGCTAATGGTACATCGTGCAAAACGACGGCCTCCTGTTCAGAAAAGTTCCCCCGCTAACCAGCAGTGGACACATTCACTATCGGAAAACCAGCTGTGATGGGGTGGGGGGGCTGTGCGCGCATGTGCAGTGCTGGGGTTTGAATCCCCAGGCCACTAAAATGATGGCTGTAACTAACTGTCAGAATGGTCACGGGTAAGTACGGTCTCATGTGCACTTCCACACAAACACAAGGGAAGAATGTGGCCTTCCAGGGACTAAATGGTTTGTTTGTCTGCTGTGAGGATGACAACAGATTACTTTTCAGTCCAGCTGTCTTTCACTCATGTTGCTCTTTTTCTCTCCCTTTCCCTCTCTGTATTCCAGTGGCTGCTTCAACCCCCAACTCCACTGCTGGTGCAGCCATGAATTCCTTGACCTCTCTTGGGACTTTGCAAGGACTGGCTGGAGCCACTGTTGGACTGAATAATATTAATGCACTAGCAGGTACCATAAACAGTGAGTATTTGCTGCTCTGGTGGACAGCCTTCCCCCAAATTCTCCACAGAAAATGGTCAGCCAGAAATGACCTAAAAAGGACATGGAATGGGGAGAACTAAAACTTGGGATGGAGGAGCACATGCTATAATAAGCAAACGCTACCCACATTCATTTTGTCTCAGAAACACTCAACCACTTAGCACTCCCCACTTCTTTTCAGTATGTAGTAAAATAGTCATCCGTAGTTTGCTGGGGTTGACGGATATTTTTAAGTTTTAAGGAACCTGGTTTGGTTTTGGTTTTCTTCTCTCCTGCTGCACGGAAGTGTATTATAGGAGAAAAACTAATGGAGAAATCAGGGGCACACTCCCACTCAGCTGTAGGAGTTCAGGTTTCCGGGCTTCTGAGTCTCCATTTGAAAACTGAACATTCTAGATGAGAGGATCTTAAAGGTACCTTGCAGTTTAAAATTCAAAGATTCTTGACAATTATATAGTGGGGGAGACGCAGCCTTGGAAAGAAGGAAGCGAAACTAAGTGGAAAGGAGCTGCTGCTGGAAAAGCATCATCTGGACTCTTCATTAGCAATGACTTCTAAGGGGTGTCATTTTACTAGTGGGGTGAAATAGGTTTTGAGGCCAGTAGCTTACTTACCACATTATACTTCGTTCTGAAACACATGGGTTCACCAAAGAACTCTAGGATCTACCTTATTTTTGCAATTTTGTTTTTTGGTACGGGGACTCAAACTCAGGGTCTTGTGCTTGTCAGGCAGGCGCTGTGCTGCTGAGCTATATTCCCAGCCCTAGTATCCATCTTATATAGCCAACTTGCGCTTGTTCCTGTCCTTTTAAATCCACATGAAGAAAGTAGCCAGGCCCAAGAGTAAGTTCTGTTTTGGCTGTAAGGCTGGTGAAACTGATCCTCAACCCACAGAGAGGACACCTCGTCTGGCCATTTCCACTCAGTCACCCTGGTTGCCTAAGAGAAGACAATCCCAGGAAAACTACAATAACCAACGATTTCTGGGCTTCAGGCCCATTACATACCACGTAGCCCAGGCCACCTAACACCTGCTTGTTTTAATTTTTAATGAAGGCCTCCTTCCTCTTTGCCCTACTTTAAGCCCCAATTCAATATATAAACATTTTTTAAAGCCAAAAGCAAGTTTATACTTTAAAAGTTCAGAAAAACCTTGCAATTTATTTGGTTAAAAAAAACTCTAAGACATTCAAATAGAGATTAAGTTGTATAATTCTGATAAATCATGTTTAGAAATAGGAAATTTTCAGGATTAAATCCTTTTATTCAGTTGCTCTGAGGGGAAAAAACCCAAAAACTTAGACTAAGTTTTATCTAAATCGTAAGAAAAATGAAAGTATTTTCCCTCCAAAAAGAATGACTCGATTAGCATACAGAACGTGATGGGTGGTAACCATGTGAAAGCCGAGTGTTTTATTCCAGTTAAAACTGCCTCCAGCTTTTACATTTTCCAGCAGACAAACAGGAGCCTCACTGCCTTGATTCCTGCTCCTGGTACGGCTCCTCTTTCTGACCTTGTCCTGCAGAAGCACCAGCCACACGTCCTTCACCTAGGTTGAGGACGTATGTGTTCACCCACACTCCCTCATGCTGCTTCTCTTGCCCCAGGACCTAGTTCCCCTCAAACAAGGACTTTGATTTGATCGCCCGCCTGTCCTTGGTCTGCAGAGTACCAGGCCAGTGGGAACGGTTGTCCTCCTCAGCACGTGCTCATGCCTGCTGTGTGTGTGTCCTCGCGTCTGCGTCCTGCTCTTCTCCACCCTGCTCTGTTGTACGTTTCCGGGCTTTTACCATCGTCATCATGAAGACCACCAAGGGACTTTGTGGAATGGCAGAGAAAACCATAGCTAGTTCTTGTGTGGGGTGTTCTGTTGTACCGAATTTGCTCTGGCAAGGACAACAGGTTTAAATTGCTCTGCTTCTTTAAATTCGCAGTTTATGGGAAACTAAAAAAGAATGTTTCTGGTTTAAAATAACCCCTACCAGTCAGGATAAACCAGGAAAATGTTTAATTAAACCAAAAATTATACACAGATGGCAATGCACTGCTTCTCATTTGGTGTTACTAGTACAGAGTTCTGTTAGCGTCTCAAAATTGACTTGGAGCTAGTATTTTCTACTTGTCTCCAATTAATTATCAAGAAAGCCTGCTGGAATAGAGCATCCTCTTTCAAATCATTCTTTCTCAACAGAACTGATAATGCCACCTCTTCTCCCAGAGAATTCTCAGAGAAATTAATAAAAATGGCTCTGTGGACAGAGTAAGTCTAAAAGGGTTGACCGTAGCTTCCACATCTTTCTTCTTTTCTGTCCCACAAACCATTACTTGACGCCCCAAGGAGTGTAAAGTTTGGGTTGTTTTTTTTTTTTTTTTTTTTTAATGGGACCAACTCTGTTAATGGACAAAGCAACCAGAAAGAAAGTAGGCAGATGACTCACCTTAGCCTAGATTTGCCCACTTCTCCTGAAAGGGAGTTTTGGGTTTGTACATAAGTACCTAAATTAAAATTAGTTTGATACCCTTTTCCTTCCGTAATACGTTACTGAATGACGAGGCTTAAAAAAATAGCTCTCTAAAAAGCAGAAATCAGCAAGCTCAGAAGAAGGATCATAAGTAATTCAGGGCTTTCACCTCTGGGTTTTTTTGAGGTACATCCCCTGGGTACATTTTATAGATTAATATCTGAACTAAAGTGAAGAAAAAACTGTTCAGTTATGTCAACCCAAGTTTATACCTGACTTGGTATGCTTAAATGTAAATAGCGTCCTTATTTTTCCTTGTATATTTGTTCTAAATATAATACTGCATAGTTCTTCCAAATAGCTTACCATGTAGCACTTAAAATTATGATTATTTGAACATCATCAGTCCCAAATGCCTGGTGAAGAGTGTTCATGAAACTGTTTTTATGTAAAGATAAAAGAAGATGCTTTGGGCATAGTAATGTACCTTGTCACTCTTAATCTGCATTTCAACAATTGAAATTACTGTTTTAATCTGTACTCTTGGAATTTACCAAGATGTATGGACATAAGATACATACGCAAATGCACACACATTTGCAACCTTAACACAAGCATGCATAAAAGTGTCACTAATTATATTCATAGTTTTATTTCTGTCCCCTGGATCCAGTTATCTTATGTTTTCACTTAATAGCTTGTAGCTTAGAACGGCATACCTCATATGTACAAACCAAAACCTATCCCAGGAAATAGCTTACGAATCTGTGAGGACATACTATTACATTCCTTCTTTTCTCTTTTATGTGGTATAAAACCTAGCAGAATGACTTGCAGATAAACAGTCTGATGATGGTACTCTACCACTGGTACTGCTTCTCAGTACCAACTCCACAGTGGCCATAAAAATGTCCACGTTTACATTTATGGGTGCGTGTATCTGTGTATAGCGTTTTAACAGATTTACTCAGTAACCTCGCAGTTTTTTGGTCTCTATCAGCTGCGGGCCTTCAGAGAATAATTAAGAGTAAAGCAGACACTCAGGCTGTTTACCAACTATTTTGACAGACCAGTTACAAAGACTTGCCTTGCAAAAGTTTGTCACACCTATCCCATTATTCCTGCCTTCCTCATCAAATACCTTGCGTAAGAGTCTAGATTAAATGGGAGGCGATGGTCCATCCATTTGGCCTTTTCAAAGAAAAGCCCTGTTCTTTTAAGTGAAAGCACTTTATTCAATTTGACTCGTCCCTGCTTCTATTGTCCAAGGCTTTTAGAAGTAATTAGGTACCAGCAGCTAAGCTGACAGGTGTTATCTTTGATACGATGATTATTTAATATGCAATACCATCCATCAGGTAATTCACAGGAATTACTTTCAAAAGTTAAAATCTTCCTTTGATGTTTCCTCAAATTCTGCCGTGTATTATCCTTTCTACTACGGGTTTTACAAACAACCCCCACCCCAATTTTCCTTGGTAGATTTTAAGTTTTAGTATTCTCAATGCACTTGCCTTTGGTAGAATTTGGCCTTCATTTTTGTTCTAAAGAGGGTTGTACCCCTGAGCAGGCAAGGCCCGGGCTGGAGAGGCCAGACCCTCCCTCTCGTTTACATGGGTTCCCGACTAGTCCCCCTTGGGCGCTTACGTCCCGTCCACCACGCACGTGATGCCTCCTCCACTACTTCCTCCCCTTGCCCAGGCAGGAAAGGCCAGCCCTGAGTGTCTCCCAGCACTCAGCACCAGCAGAAGCAAACAGCCCTTCGGAACGCAGATTCTCCCTGAGGTGCAGCATGAAAACCAACCAACCACGGGGACCTCTCTACGTCCTCTGATACACTACTTCAGAAACATAAAATGTCACTGCTTCTGTTTTGAGAGGAAAAAGAAATGGGTGAACTGGGAAAGACTTTAAAAGATAATCCTCCTAACGCGGTAACAGAAAATGCCATCGGTGGAAGGAAGGAGGGCTGGGCACCAGGGAGCACTACCGAGAGTCCTCCTGGAGGTGGTGAGCGGCAGAGGGTGCAGGCCACAGGAAGACACTTCGTGGGGCCTGGGGTGCAGAGCCTGGACGCTCCGAGGCCCTCACCTGACGAGAGCTGCCGACGCGGCAGTCTCTCCCACTGCATGGAATGGCCGGCGGGTTCAACATAGTAGAGCCGGGACACTCGGCTGTGCTACCCAGGCTGCCACATAAGCCAGAGAGAACTACACAGCACAGGGCAGAAGGACGGTGGCAAGTCTTTGCTCACTCTCCTGTTGGAAATCCTGCCACACGGGGGTCTGAGTTCCCAGAGGGCTGAGCACAAGACTTTCTCTTCTCTGTGTCTAGCACCTGTGAAGAGCCGGACACAAGTAGAACCAGTAGAGATCCTCAGGCGTGCCTCCTCCCTGCAGTACCACTTTACATCTCCTCTCACCTCTCTCAAGAAAGAAACTCGGAAGTTCCCTTGTAACACACAAATACTGGCGAGGGAGGAAGAAATCAGACCAAAGGAGGAAAAGAGTGATTATTCCCCAGGCCTTTAGTGGCCGCAACAACCGGAATGGACGGGAAGAGACGGTGAGGTAAATGTGATTAGCTGGCATCTGAGTAATCATTGAGAGTAATTAGCAGGACAAACTCTAAGCTCTTTAACAGTGATTATTTGATGCCCAGAAAAAAGAACAGACTCCTTCATAGTAAGAACTGCGAGCAGATGCAACAGGGCCTTCGGGCTTACTCACGCTGGCCGGGTCTGCTTGAAACCACTTTTCTCTGGGCTGTTGCACATTCTCAGACCCTGCAAACCTGCCTCACCAACCTGCCCAGTCCTATCAGAGGATGGTGTTCTCTGAACCACCCGCCACAGCCCAGCTGCCTCCGCAGGCCCCACAGCAGGAATCCCAGCCAGGAGGCAGTGAGAGCCTTCTACCATTAACCCATGGTCTAATTTATATCTTGTGTGGTGTCCTTTTAATTGAAGAGATGAAGTTTGCAAAATCAGAGAAGCACATACGGAAGAAATATGGCCTGCCCTACCTCCTCTATTTCCTGTGGATTCAAGCAGGAACCATGACGGGAGTGTTGACGTGATTCTATTTGATCCCGCTGTATAATTTGCAAGCATCCTTACCTTAGCTATCCTCTATTCTCATTAGATTTCTTACCATTTTCTTCAGTCATTCTTGCTATTTTAATACCTCTAACTGTAATCTCACCAAGATTTTCATTAATGCTTTTTAAGTTTTTCTGAGAAACAGATCTTTTAGAAAACTTTTTAATCATACAGGGAACCAAAGGTAATTGTGGTGTCACCTCTGCCGTTTCCTGCATTTACGTGAAGGGTAACTTTGTACGAAGCACTGCTTGTTTTGACTCAATACTCAGGGAAAATGTGAAACAATCAGTACCCAGAATAGAGCAGCCAGGATACAAGCACAAAATCAGAAGAGAACTAACTCATCAACACCAGTTCACAGCCAGGATCCAGCACACAGAGTCACTGTAACTGGCTGGAGAAAACCACGTGAAGCTCTTTCACTGGCACAAACCTGTTACCTGGGTACTGACTGATATACCTGTGTGGGTGCACGTGCATATACAGTAAGCGTTTGCGGCTAAGACTGCACCATTCACTTTTCTATCTTTGAAATACGCAGCTTGAGTCCTCTGCGCTTATGAAAAGGGCTCACATTCACTCCCATTCCTGTTTTCCAATCACCTAAGATGCTTACTCCTAAGTCCTCACCACTGACAGCATCTTTCATCTGTCTGGGAAAAACAGTTCATGGCACTGCTGACCCACTGGTTTTTAGAGCACAGAACTTGCCTGCTCTCCATTTCCTCATCAGACAGCTGGAGAGGAAGAAGCTCCATTTTATCCTTGCCTCCGTACTCTCTTGAGCCACCTCACGGCTCCTCCGAGAGCCCCGTCAGTGGATTTCAGGGTACAGATGTCACGGGCCTCTGCCACCAATGCTCTTCCACTGAGCCTAAGCTCGGAGCAGGAGCAGGCTTTTATTTCAGAAAGATAACCGTGGTACTTGCCAGTAGCTCACTGCATGGAATGAAGATGTACTGTCTACCTGTAGTGCCCAGTCAGTTCTCATGACTGGCCTGGGAGTAAGGTTAGCATTACTCAGGTCTGTTTCCCATCCCTGTAATTATTTCCTCATGATTTTATTTTGATTTTCGTTGGTTTCATTGGTGTGCTGGCTGCATGCACTTGCTGTTGTACTTGTGTCAAATGATTCTCTAACTTCCTTTGGAAAGCACTAATGAATAAGTGCTATTTCTCTTCTCTATTGTTGGGTTTTTTGTAAAGTTGCTCAAATGCTCTCAGGTATGGCGGCTCTGAATGGAGGACTTGGCGCCACAGGCTTGACGAATGGCACAGCTGGCACCATGGACGCCCTCACCCAGGCCTACTCAGGAATTCAGCAGTACGCAGCGGCTGCGCTGCCCACTCTGTACAGCCAGAGCCTGCTGCAACAGCAGAGCGCTGCAGGCAGCCAAAAGGAAGGTACGTGCCTGCCCGGGGCCCCCACACCGGCCTGGGAGGGCCAGCTCCACCACGTTTGCCTTCAAAGCATGCTTAGAAAATGGAATTGAACCCATGTCGGCAGAGAATTCAGTTGTTTTATTTCTAGTGTTCATGTTTTTAAAAACTGCAGGCTTAAGTCATTTGTCTTCTCTCCTGTTCATCATTTAATTTTTCATTCAGCTGTTAAGCTCAAATTCTCATCCATTGTACCTTTACATGCATTTATTAGTTGCTGCCATCAGAAATTTGTGAGGAAACTCCCTCTCCCCAGTCAGCAAAGACCAGCAGTTTCTCCCTTAATGCAGAAACTCCTCTTAGCAGAAGGCTCCTTCCTGTGTTCCCCAGGATCTCCGAGTGCATTCACCCTGTGATTGTGGGGCTGCCTCTCAGTAGCCAATGCGTGTCAAGCTAATGAAGAAATCCACTCTTAGGGTCAACTTGGTCTTTGTGTAACTGGGGGGTCTTCTGGGAAAGCAAGTAACTGATGGCCTTGCCTCTCTGCCAATAAGGCAAATGCACTTCAGGAAGTTAATGCTAAGGATAAATTAAAGCCAATTATAAACCAGTTAATGACCTAATCCAAATACAGTTTGTCGTCATTCCTTTTGATTCCTTCTTCCCTAATTTAAGCTGCTTTAAAGCAAAATCAACAACAAGCTATTTATTTTTCCTGACTTACTTAGAACATGGGGAGATAAGCTAAAATAGAAAATGAATAAAGATTTTCTAAAGTTTCCTTTCTCCTTTGCTCTCACCCGAAAGTTCCAAACTGCTTTTGTCTGAATATTCTTAACTTAAAGCATGATGTTCTGCAAGAATCTTTTTCCTTTGAAAATTAAGAGAACATAGCTTAAAAGATACTCATTTTTTGCCTTTGATAAACAACACAGAGATCATTAAAAATGAAAGCTATGTGAAAGTCTAGGGTTTTTTTATCATTTCAGCCTTCTCTTTACTCTCAGTTGTGATTGCTATTGTAGGTTTTGTAAATACATAACTGTTCAGAGAAGTATGGTTCACCAGGCTTGTGAAAGGGACCCTACATCACAACCACCATGGTCCTCCCTCCAGCATTTATGTAGCCCCTCTGCCTGAAGCCTGACTGTCATGGTGACAAGATGGGTAGGAAAGCTCCTGGAAGATGATACCCTCAAACAGAGACCACCTGTGCTTTTACAGAATGCTGGTCACCTCTGCATTACCCAGCAAGGCCTTACAGCAAACTGAATAGCTTGTCGCACCAGGAAAACATCTAACACTGAAAGACACAAAATTCAGTGGTTTAAGTAGGCTCTAAAACCTTTTTTTTTTTTTTTTAATTGCTTCATTACTGCCCTAAATTTCTTTGCTTTGAGTTTTAGGGATTTGTAAAATAGGTTAACATAACTATTGCTATGCCAGATTAATGTAGCTCAAGAAATTTAACCTGTTAGTTTAAATAAAATGTAATTTAAAAGGCAAATTATACTAGGGGGGGGAAAGGCAATAAATTCTATCAGCAAACTGGATTTCCTACTCCAGTTAGTCCCTTACTCAAGAGAAGTAAAAGGTAACTTAAAAGTATTCAGTCGTCTACCCTAGGGTATTTCTCCCTCCCCAACACACAGAAAAATGAACTCGTCTGTCTTGTAAATAAATGGCTTTAACTTTTTCCAAAGTAAATCTGAAGGGTTATGGTATCCCAAAGATCTAAATGTAGGAAAACTCACCATCTTTCTTACCCTCCTAAACACCCTCTGACTGTCTCTCACACCTTCCCATCTTCCTTCACCGTAGTGGGCAACCACACACGCCCAGCTTAGGCTGCCAGGGACCCAACAGGAAGCCAGAGGCACTGATGGTCTGGTACAGCTTTGTTCCTGCAGACACTGCCAGGGTTTTATGCTACATCACATGCTCGGTGAGAAATACAAAATAAAAGCACTCTAACTAGCTAGGACCAGCAATGTCACACCAATAACTCTCCCAAGTTAGGATGACAAATAGTAGGAGAAATTGGTCACAAGGGTGATTTGTGGATAGGGTTTCATTACTTCTAGATTTAGAGAAAAAGGACAGCTCACAGGCAGCATCCTCCTGGGGAAAAGGTAATGGCCACTGCAGTTGTATACAAGGGAGGCTTTCCTTATGCGGTCATCTTTCCCTCATCTGAACAGTAAAAATCTGGGAGTTTAAAAAATACAAGTTTCTTGGTGATGAAAAAAACAGGGTTGTGGGAGCAAACCAGGAGATGCCACTGACTTTCTCTCTGGGAGAATAACAAGCAAAAGTGCAAAGCTTCCTTCTGTCTCGTGGTCCTTAGATTTTCATGATCTCGCATCTGGCATAAGTAGATTCAGAATGTACAGAATTCAGAATGCCAGCATTATTCAAGCATACCCAGTGAACTGTCCCGTGTATTAAATGTTAATTTTCCCCAGGCTCCAAGAAGAATACACTTTATAATTCAACAGGGGTCACGTTAATCTCTATTTGTGCACTTGGCTCTTTCATTCAGAAGGAACATTAAATCTGGTGGTACCAGATTTGACCAATATGCATACTGCAAAGGATGGCCATCGACATCCATTTCCAATGTTTTGGTTTTCTATCTATTCATATTAAGCCCAATAATTATGTTCCTTTCAAACACAGGCTGCCTCCCCTGCACTGCAACAGAAACCCACCTGTAGGCTAATATGCAAAATTGAAGTATACATTTAGACATGTCTTTAAGGAAGAAACAGTTCACCTCTGGTTTCAATCATAGGTATCAAAGTCTTCCTCATGAAAGTCCCACTGGGACACTGTGATTTTATGGGAACAAGAGAAGAAACTCAGACATTCTCTGCAAAGGTGTTTGTGCATCTGTTCTTATGAAGTTCTCCTTTATCCCCATTTTATTTCTCTTCAACTCACACAGAGCCAGCGTCCCACCTCTCTAGGGAAATGACTGCAGCCTGTCCCCCAGGGCATCATGACAGGAAAGGCAGGCCTGATTCCTCTCCTGTGAAAGCCAGATGCAGCTCCACAGATCAGCTGTAGAATTTACTTCCCCAGCTCTCCGACCTCCCAGTCCTCACAATGACCAGGAGACATCCAACCCTTATGCTCCACTCACCTTATTGGATTCCTTATTTTTAACTTTTGCACAGCTCTTGTACAAATGGGCAGAGTTCAGAGAGTAAAACGGAGAGGAACTTAGAGCTTTCCCTCTTCACCCAGTGTAACTGAGGAAATCTTCTCTCTTCTGTCTCTGTTTCTGACATCTGCTGGAAAAGGATGGATAAAGAGAAAGAGTTTAGCTTAGCTCAGTCTGAGAAGCTCTATATCCACTGCATTCATTTCCAAGGTCAATTTCTGTGGTATCATTCCTATCAAAGTTATGAGAGTCTAGCTACCTTTCTTTCCCAGGCATTGACTGACTGCCAGTCATTTCTAATAGATGATTACATTATATTAAGAGAGTTAGCAAATCAAAACTGGCTGGCTAACTGGTAAATGATTAAGAAATCTAAGCAGCACTGCTGCTGTATTCGTTATTCTAAATTGCTGCGAGCTGCTTGGAATGCATGGAACATTCTCTTTTCTTCTAAGAGACAGTCTACATGTAGGAAAAAACATGGTTACCGAGGAAAAACCCATGCATAGATGCTTATCGCGTTAATATTATTCCCTAGTTATTGCGAACTGATCAGGCCTGCAATCTCCCAAAGGAGTAGATGGTGAAGGCTTAAATAAATGAGTCAAATGGTATGATTTAGGGCTCCAGGAGGATCAAAACCCTGTAGCAGAATGAGATTCTCTGGGGGCTTAGACAAAGATCTCATGGCTGCCCGTATTTATTTAGTTATCAAAACAAGGGAGGGGAATACTGAAGAAAGGCAGGAATCTCTCAAAGACTTCTCCCAAGACAGTATGTTAATTTAGGAGAACTGTGTTATCTCTAGGAAGGTCTCCACCCAGGAGGGAGAGGCCTGCAGTTGCAGTCTTTATCTCGTTCACTGAGGTTGGAGCCAGGTGTCCTTTGCTTCACCGGCCTACAGGCCTCAGTCAGCTGGGACCAGTGACTCACAGAGGTTCACTTACTATGACTCCATTGCCCATCGACAGACAAGGGGTCTAGGCCTTGGACAGACTCACAAGTAAACACGAAAAGCCAATGGGTTAATATTGAATCCTGCTAAGAGCCGCTTCGTAGTGGTCTCCATCAGACGCTCTGCTCCCATCCTGTCCACTACTACCATCTTCACTCCCGTGAGAGGAGAATCCAATGAATGCCAGCATGCAGCGAGGACATGGGGCCCCCAGAAGACTATGGAAAAGAAGTGCACACAGCCAGTCTCTTTTCGGAAATTAGAAAAATGGGAAGGATGAGTGCTTTCCTGAAAGACATGCCAGCTCTTGACATTTATCCATCTGTTTACTCTTATAAGAGAAAGCCCAATGTTTAGCCTACATGCTGTTAAAACATTCCTTAAAAAGGCCTTGGGAACTAAGACTTGAGGGATACCTTACAATGATTTTTTCTTCCTCTTTAGGTCCAGAGGGGGCAAACCTCTTTATTTACCACCTTCCACAGGAGTTTGGAGACCAGGACATTCTGCAGATGTTCATGCCTTTTGGAAATGTTATTTCTGCTAAAGTCTTCATTGACAAACAGACCAATCTGAGCAAGTGCTTTGGTATGCAAAAGAAACCAAGTTAGAATATTCCAGTAGGTTCCCAAGTGAGGGAAAAATGTGAATGATAGATCTTTTTGGAGTCAAGATAGGGCCTTCCTGTGGGTTTGTGTGTTGAGGGGCTGGGGTGATTTCTAAATGCGTCTAAGCAGATTTAGGCAAAGTTGTTTAATTAAAATAAAAGGAAAGTATCTGAGAAATTCTCTTACATTAGGTGAAATGCTATGCTGTGCTATGCTACACTATGCTATGCTATACTATACTATACTATTAAAGTGTCTTTTTTATCTGATAATTTTAAATTGTGGAGCAATAGCCATTTCTTCAAGCCCTGTAGATTTAACCATGAACTTTTATCCGATGGAAACACAGTTAACAGACTATTGTTTAGTCTCTGTTGATCTAGAATAGTAAGTACTACAGATACTTTGCTCCTTAGTACTACAGATACTAGCTCCTTATCCCCCTCCAGGTTTAGTATGACTCAGAAACCACTGTGTGGATCACATATTATCCTGGGAGGTTTACTGTTTAGTACCTTGACATACACTTACATTCACAAGTATGGACGTGGCCACATCCCAGTTCTGTGAACGTAGAATGAGCATTTGATGAATCTCATAGCTATACAGAGCATCCTGATGGGATTAAAGGGCTAAAATTTGGGCTCACCATATTGGCAGGAGCCCCATGAATGGATACAGGGCACAGACGTTATGCCGGCAGCCCAGCCTCTCGGTGCTGCTCGGAACTTGCTGCACTGGCTAGCCTAGCTGTCAAAGCATACTTCCTTAAGCAGCTCTCTCAGACCCCGCCTCCTGTGGTAACTCCCCCTTCCCTAAGAGAGTAAGGAAAGTTCAGAGCATGTGCTCATGTTTTCACACAGGAGGACAACATTCATGAATTCCATTCCCTTTTTTTCCAAACCCTTTGGCCCACAAAGTAGTTTAGAGGCCGGGATGTTCAGAGCACATACTCATTTGGCGGGTTCTGACCCCTTGTGAGTTACACCACTTGCTTTAATCACTCCGGCAATTTAATAATTCTTGTTGGTAGTTGGCAGTAAGAGTAACATAACACAGAACAGATACAGGCCAGAAGAAACACAGAGAATTCTAAGTTACAAGAAAAAAAAATACTGAAGGTAGGATGGTTCTCAAAGAGCTAAAAAGTCACACTTACAAGTTGGCTGGCTGGCGGTGGGAAACCAGTCCAAAGAGAACGCTGTGGTTTCCCAGCCTCCATTATTGCGAAGTCTTTCTACTTTCTGTGTCATCACCCAGAAGGTCGGAGGCTCTGCTGTTAAAGGAATTAGTATGTCAGCCATTTCAGGTCACTGTTCTTACCCTAGTGGGAAGGCTGTCGGCCCAAACCCGTTACACCACTGCTGCTGTGTGAGGACTGTGTGCACTCCTTGGTAGTGGCTCCTGAGAGTGAAGTGGAAATCGAGTTGTCACGTAGGCTGTGTGTGAGCATGCGCTTACCTTTGGGAGTCTTTCCTGCACAAGGCTTTGAAGTGGCCTTCTATTTCATTTCTTTATTTTTTTTACAGATGAACAATGTTCTGGGCTTATTAGCAGACTAGCAAAGGACTGTACTTTGTGGTTTGAGAAAACATTTATTACCTTGAAAAGAGACTGTCAGTCCACAAACTACTTAACTAATGTGTTCATGATAATGCAAACTATCGCTGAAAGAATCAGCAGGCTATTATTAGCATGAGGGGCTGAGTTTTAAAGTTTTATAAAAAGCCGTGGCATCCCATGTTTCTCAGTGAACCAACCTATTTTCTTAGGGCCCCATTTCCCCAGATTCCTAGTCATTAGATGACAGCCCCGTCTACTGCGAAGTCATTAGATGATTTGTACCTGTTGGCTGGGTTTTGTTGTCCATCTCACTCTTGACCCGTTTCCATTCTTTAGTCATCTGCTACTTCTATAAAAACACCCTGAGGGAAAAACTGTCAGAATGGAAATCCTGGACTTGGGGTCACATTTTAGGGGGAAGAGATTTAATAGAAAAGTAAACCATTTTTGCAAGACAGCCTGCCTATGAAAACTTCTCTGCTTTATGCTGTATGCCCATTTTTATCAACTGAGGGGAGAATTTAGCTCAAAGTATATCTGGCCTTTTCTTTCTCTTCAAAATTTGTAACAGAATTTCGTCTTTAGCATTAAAGTTTAACAGTAGATAGAGACAGTATAGAACCTTCTGAGCAGCTGATGTTGAGAACTGAAATTAAATCCGAATAATAGCTTCCTTTCAACACCAGAAGTCAGTCGGAACTATACAAGCGCACCACTCACCTCAGCATTAACTAGAGCTTCGCTTGTGCCTCCCCACTGGCCTCCCTCCTCAGTGTCAGAGCAAACTATAGGATCCGAATCCTCCCGTTTCTGGGACTCTGCAGAGCATCACTGGTTCTTTTTCAAACACTTCCTTGCTGTTTTCTTGGTGGTAGGGGTTGCTACAATGAAAGATACTGGGAATTCTGTTCAGCTGGGTGAGCCTTGAGTAAACCATTTATTCCTATTTCTTAAGAAGACTTTGAAAAGTACAAGGTAGCAGTCTTCTTTCTGTCACACTTACTGGAGTTTTGAAAATGGAAACTGAGCCCAAGAGAAAAGCCCAGCATTTCCCTGGGTTCTTCACAGTAGTAACTCCAAAATGTCATAAATTAAGTATAAATTATTCTAATTCAATAATGGGTTAATTCGCTTACTCATCCTATAGCCAAACAGATACAGGCTCTGTCTAAATTCTGTATGTAGTGAACTGGAATGACAGGTGGGGAAGGCCTTTGGTAGCATGCACCTTGTCCGGTCCTGTTTCTACTCCCATGGTTGGGACCCGGGAGCTGCTGGGGCCTCTTGGAGTCCTGGAATACTTACGCTGCTGCTGCTGTCTACCTGGGATTCAAACAAGGAGGTCAAACTCATTCAAACAACTAAGATTTTCTTGAGATTTTAGTCTTCTGGGGAGGGTTTTTATCTTACATACCAAATTACCAGTGTAGTTAGCTTTTTACTACTTTTGCTCAGTGGACATCTCCAATGCTGTCCCTTAATCGTGTCCCTAAAACATTCATGGCGTACCATAAGTTTAGCAGTACTAAACTGAGACCATGGGACCAGCACCCATTAGCGTGTGCAGTAACACTATGCTGCCATCCCTGAAAGCTTCCTCTCCATCTTGACTGCCTCCACCCTCTCCCTTTGTATCTTCCAGGTTTTGTTAGCTATGACAATCCAGTCTCTGCACAAGCTGCAATCCAAGCTATGAATGGTTTTCAGATCGGCATGAAACGCTTGAAGGTGCAGCTGAAGCGCTCCAAAAATGACAGCAAACCTTACTGATCCTAACCCCAGCGGCTCCCTGCTCTTATTTTAGCTTTCTTAGGGTAAGTCCCACGAGCCAGCCTGTTCTCAACAGGGAAGGCAGAGGAGGACCACATTGCCAACTTTTACCAAGAGAGACGATTATTTTTACAATAAGGCCTCCATTTCCCTCACTCATCCCCCAGTTTGCCATAAACTTGGGCTACCTTATTTCTGTTGAGTAAATTCCTCCTCCAGTTGTGCCACTGTATTCTCCTTTTGTTTTGCAATTTGAATCTCCTTTTACCTATTTTTAATTTTTTTTTTGTTTTTGCTTTTTTAAAGAAAAACATACACACAAATAAATGACATCTTGAGAATTTAAAAGGCAAACAAAAGCTAATGTGCAATTCTAACTCTGAAACCACTGGTGCCCCAAGAGCACTGCCTGGAGAATTCACCCCTCTTTGCCCGCGCCACCTGCCCCTCCGGAGGGCCCCTGCGGCGTTTAGAGTGGTGGCCTAGCAGAGGGAGAAGCCAGGAGAAGCACTTAAACAACACAAAACGTCTTTCCACTACATCGGTTTAAGAAGTAGGATTTTATTTTAGGGTTCAAAAGAAACATGACACTTACTGGTCATATTGGTCATATTATTACACTGGTTGTCTATTTTGTTATTGTTTTATTTTTGTTTTTAGAAAGGATTAATGTAAAAAAGATTTAGAGATCTGTTTCTTAAAGCTACAGGGTTTAAAAATAAAATAAAAATGAGTGAAAATACTTGATGTTTCTTGAAAGATAAATTTAATAATAATAAATACATAAATAATACATAAATAAAAAGAAAGCCACAGGCCTGTAAATTTTATTTGTAAAAAAAGCATTTCTATTTTTATACAAAATTTTTACTGCCTCAGAAATAATGGAAGTTATTTATTGCCTATTGTTAACTTATTGGGTACCTAAAGAGCAGTTCTCTGTCTAGCTGGGACCTTCTGAAGTAGTCTCTAGAGGAATTGTTCTAGGAATGGGCTTTTTTTCACCGTTGAACCCTAGACCTAAAGTTCATGCTTTATCCTCTTGTTGTTCGTATCTGTCTGATTATTTTGTTCGTAATTTCCATTATCTAGTTTACAGTTCAGTCGTCTGACTTCCCCATATGTCACCTTCGTTGAAACTGGACCCTCTCCCCGTCCCTTGCCAGTCCCACACCCCAAACACCCAGAATCCATCCCCTCTCACTCTCTCCAGATGGATTCTCTTGGGGTTTCATTGTGCTGTGGAAAAAGAGTGTAAGAAATGCAAATTATGTGAATGGCTCGTAGACTCCCTAAAGACCTAAGATTTGCATTAGTTTTTCTCCTGCACCCTTAAAAGTGATTTTGTTGCTGCTGCATAGATTCTGTGTAACTTTTTACTCTTCCTTGTTTTTTCCCTAGACATCTTCATGCCCGTTAGTTCATCGTTTGCCTAGCATGTCCCTGTGGCGTCTCAAAAAAAAACAGTTTCATCGTCCCGTCATTGTTTCTGATGTCTTTCTGACCTCACATCATATTTGGTTCTCCTACTGACCTTTGATCTAGTTTGACCTTTGAAATTTGCATGTGACCTCATCTAGCTATGAATTCTGGGAAGTCAATGTGAAAAACATTGCTGCATTCATGCAAGACTGAAATTAGACAAATTAATTATAGGAAAAAAACCTGTGGCAAAAGTGTTTCTTTCTTTTTTTTTTTTTTTCTTTTCACAAAACAGACTTGAAAGTATTATACAGGGATTGGCATTCTTCCCGGTCACTGGTAACAATAGCAATATGTGTCCAGGGACACAGAATGTGGGTTTCTAACAGACTACTTCCAAAAACAGTTTGAGAAAAAAACTGTCTGACTTTAAGTCTCCAGAGGTCTGTAGTTTTTACATTTTTCAGGCAGTGTAAAGTTTTTGATAAGGCCATTTTAGGTGGCCCACTTTCTCATTGAGATATATATATAGAACCACTTTTTGTAGATTAGTATAAGGAAAATATTTACCCTGTTTTGGGGCAAATGCTACCTATTTGTGTCACCTTTTGCTGAACTGACTCACAGTTAGACAATCCATGGTTTAATGCACATGAAATTACCTATATTTTATACTGTTTCAATGTACAGGAGAAAGGTTACTGTAACTGTGTCACGTTGGTGCTTCTGTGAATTAAGTTGTGGTTTCATCACGAGTCTTACGGTCTTAATGTTCTCTGTTGATAAGACAAGCTTAGAATTGGTTTACTTAAAACAAAAAAGAACTTCAAAAAAAGTTGTTTGCTTAAAAAAAATTTCATGTGAGGAAAAAAAAACCTATTCCAGAATAAGTTTTGTGTTGGCTTGTGAAGCATTGATGTCATTTTTTTCTTTTATTGTGGACTATTTAGACGTGTTTGTGTTCAGCAAAATGTGATTTTTTTTTCTTTTAAAGAAAAAAAGTGAAAATATATAGTGCCAAATTCCAAAGGTACTTCCTTCCTAGAGCTTCAGTGTGTTTCTTGTGAGAAGTAATTTGATAACATGGGTATTTTATTATGTGTTTTGTATAAATCCCTAATATTTAAAAAAAAAAAGGCTAAAAAGTTTGTTAACTTGCTATCCTGTGGTCTTGTTGCCTGAAATTGTTATTGTTTGTTATTTCTCTATGATGTTTTGTAAGACATTGTATAAGTGCCCATGTCTCACTTTTTTAACCACTCTGCCCATCAATGCTGTGAAGCGACCTCACGATGTACTCTTCATACATATGGAAACCTCTACGGTGAGAAAGTTTTGAACTTCTAACCCTTTCTACCCAGAGCTGTCTGGGATGTTGGTAACTTTTTATACTGTCATCATTTGAATTTGTTTTGAAGTATTTCTAATTTGGATTTTTTTCTTGTATCTTCCGAGTTATTTTATTTTTACCACTTTTTTATCCTTTGAGATCCAAATTGAAGGGAGAAAAACAATTTGTTACCTACCTATAATATCTTTTCTTCTATTTAGATTATTCTTGATCTTTTTTTTTTTTTAAGAATCCCTAATGTCTTGTGTTCCTTCAGTTTAAATAAATGTGTATTGGGTAAATCCTCTGAGGGGGAAAGTAGGTAGATTCAGCCTCTAAGTAAACCTTTAAAAATGCCACATGCTTTCTGAGATCAGATTAGTGATATGCACTAGTCTAAATATTTTCAGATACCTTGCAATTAAAGGATTTGGGGGTAGGGTTGTCTCTTGAGGGACTGCTTTTGTTTCTTAAGTACAGAACTCCTGAGATGTTCCATCAGCCCTAGAGCTGGGGATTCTCTGACCCCAGGAGATACCTCCTGTGTATGCAAGGTATCCAGAAAGAGAAGCCTATTGTCCTTTCTCTCCTGTTTTGTATTGTTTTTCAGCTCAACATATTTAAAGGGGACTGGCCATATAAGCAGAGCTCTGTTCTTTACCACAGTCACTGACCAAACACCTAGCACCAACTCCTGCTGCCACTTTGTTAAGTGCCATATTACTTGGACTTTCTGTGAACAAAAACCCTAACGTTATATCCACAGCCCCAATCCAAAACTCCAACCTTCCTGAAATCAGGCCCTGGAAGCTTCTTGGTCTCAGCTCCCTCTTCCTCCTTATCCACTCCATTTGTGTGTGTGTGTGTGTGTGTGTGTGTGTGTGTGTGTATGCACGCATGTGTGGATATGTGGATATGATAGCCCTGGGATGGAAAGGACTAGCCTCTAATGATGCAAAAAAAAAAGTTTCCTTCTTATAGCACATGCACTTCTAATTAAATGATTTGTATGATCCTCACACGTGTTTACTACTGCCGGGGCCTTCCTTCATCCTTTGAGGGCTATTTTGTACTTCCTGCAGCACTCAACTTAATAAAAGTTAATGCACATGTCTCTCTCATGTATCCATTATATGATGGTGTATAGATACACACATAGAAACACAACAGGACACCACTTGAATTTCCCAAACCATTTCATTCAGAATCTATTCATTTATCTAAAAAAATTTTTTTCTGGTTTTTTCACTGAAGCAAACTGCCCTGCTTTTCTCTTACCTACTTGCATTTTCCCCAGAGAAAAACAGTGCAGCTGAAAGGAGGCTCAAAGTGTGCACTCTGAGTTGAGTGTTAATGATTTTGCAGGCAACCAAGACAGTCCATTTAGGGGGAAAGTCCTTTTCCTCTTCTTTTTTTTTTTTTGCATGTTTCATTGCTTAAAAAAATAACCCTCCCCCAACACAAACTGTCCTTTCATCTTTTAATATCAAAAGAACACTGCAAGGGTGCAGAGGGCCTGTGTCAAGAGGCAGAGCACATAGGAAGACTGCTTTTTCAAAACCCAGAGTGGAGAACAGTCATATTAAACTAAATTAGAGAAATGCGATAAAATGGCAGTCCTCAAAGGCGTAACAAGTTCATCTTTCTTTCACCATAGGGGTTATAGTTCTTTCGCTTGTGCTACTCTGGAATCATTTACTGTTTCTGTTTTTATTATCTTAAGTGCTAATTAAAAGAAGAAATAAAATTTTAAAAAAATCTGTAGTTTCATTACCTTTTTGAATAATGTCACACAAAAAAATGTATTTGTGTTTTTGTGCTGTGAGAATTGTTGTTTGTAGATTAATAATATCATTTTGTTTAATACTACAAAATAGTTTTTAAATATTGTCTGAGAAAAGCCAAAGTTAATGCAACCTAGTGGAAACTGTAAGACCATTTAAGTATTGTTTGTTTTATTGATGCATTTGGATTTTGTTGTTTGATGGAATTTGAGCCAAAAAAAAAAACAAAACAACAACAGCAACAACGCAGGCTTTCCTATTTCTACAACTGATTGTACTTATGCATTTTGTACCAGTGGAACTTTTTATACTGGAGATTAAAAAAATGGAAATTTCTGTGGCTTTCTCACGTGGGCCCCCTGAGGGTGACTGACTTCAAGTTTGATTTCTGGTTGATCGAAAGAAAGCTGCTCTTCTTTTGAGAATTAAAAACTTTGGCTTGATTTCTTTTTTCCTTTGCTTATATCTAGCATTAGAATTTTGTCTTAAAATACAGCGGTAAGTTTCACTTTTTATTCTGTATTGTGCAGTTACACAATAAGGTAATTAGATTTAGAAGTACTCAGTCACTTTAAGTGGATAAATGTATTAGTTAAGCTTTAGGGGTTTGCTTTTTTGCTGTTTAGATCAAAGTTTTTTCTGAATCTTCTGTCCTCATTGTGAACATAACCGTGTAGCTGAAACAGTCGAACTTATTTTTGTAATGTATGTTACTGTGTGATGCGGTTTTTTGCTTCTGTCTCCAATATTAAACCATTTTCCTAATACTTGTTTCTCTCTCTGCGTGTTGTATTGTTGGTAGTCATTATATGTTGGTGATGCATCTACACACCTCACTGTTTCACGTATGTTTCTTTCTATATGTTGTGTAAAAAAGATACAGTCGATTCCAGCTAAGTGAATATCTGATTTGAGGAAAGGGAAAACTGCACACCAGCCACCTTTGAATTTTGTCCAACAGCCCACTCTAACCACTGCTTCGGAGACTGATAAACTTTTTTCTATGGTTCACCTAAATAACTGCTTAGCGAGCTGGATTTGCCAAGGCAATTTATGATACTTTGACCGCACAGGATCATCTCACCTCCTCTCTGACCTCTCCCTTCCCTTGTCCCTCTCTCATGAATGAATACGAATTTATATATACATATATATGGGTGTGTGTGTGTGTGTGTGTGTGTGTATATTTGACATTCACTGAAATCTGCTGCTGCATAACCATAGAAGAGAAACAGCAGACCTGCGTTTGTTCTGTCTACTCCCAGGTCCAAAGGCACACACCCTAACAATCAAGCTCATTTTAGAAACTGGTGACCTTTTCAAAAGGGGTGAACTCTCAAGGGAAGAAAAAATAAACTGGTGAACAGAGATGTGTAAAGGGTTAAACTTAGATCTACATGTTGCCATCAGTTAATGGGACGTATAGAAAAGTAATTTATTCTCGAGGTAACTACACCCAAAGTTAACATTAACGATTAAAACACAAAAGAAAAATACTTCCAAGTGCTCAAATGGAAGTTCTATCAGTCTGGAGGGAGGGTGAAGCTTTTCCCACTAAGATCCCCACAGTGTACTTTTTCCAAAGGAAAACTCGGAAGGCCACATGCATCCACACACCCTCCCGGAGGAACCCACAGCAGTAAGCCGTGTGCCCACTATCGCCCAACACTAGCAATCCGAAAGCGAGCTGTTCCTTATACACCCTCTACATCTTAAGCTACAAGCCCTCCTCCCTTTCGTGCTCATCTTCTATGCTCAGGAATCTGACTGCTCTTAAAGTGCTCTTACAAGATTCCATCCTTGTTTGTTCCCTGTGTCTTCCTTCTCCTTTCGACTTCTCAGACGCACAAGCTCTGCCTGCCTCAGGCCATCCAGCACCTGGTGCCAATGAGCTTTCTCCCTGCAGGTGCTCAGGCTGTCCACCCTCTGGTTTCAAGGGCCCCAAGATTGGGTTTTTTAGTTGGACCAACAGGAGAGGGGCCCGGTGAGGTGGAGGAGAGGCGGCTTTCTCCCAGAGGCCGGACACCTCGGTGGTAGTAACTTCCACCAGCTCCAAACCTGCACAGATGGGAGCTGACTTCCTGCCAACACTTCTGCTTTAAATCTCATCATAGCCTTCATCACTTTGCCTCTGGAAATCCACTGCTTAGATGGCTAGAGATGCGATTTTTTTTCTTTCTTTTCTGGGGAAGAGGGGAGGTATGATGAGGGAGGGGAGATTCAGGGAAAAGGGTAAGCAAATTCTTGCCAAGACGCAAGTGTTTATTTCTACACTATATAAGTAAATGTAACCACCACTTGGCACAAGGCAAAATACTCATGCTAAATAAAGGAAGGGAAAGACAAAGCCAGTTTTTGTTGTTTTGGAAAGAAGAACAAAATAATTCTCCGAAGAAGAGAATGAAATGCTAGTTTCTTTGAGCACTTAGGTGACTGTAAAGTTGGCCCCTGCTTAAACTTACAAGTTTGATATTGTAAAACGTCACTGCAGTGTGAACAAGGTCTAGCTATTTGCCATGCATGGACCACCTTGGGAAACCACAGCACCATCGTTTCCTTGCTCATGGAAACCGCACACCTGTGCAGCCTACAGCAGTTGTGTGTTATCCGGGGGCTTGAACTTAGCTAGCAGGCTAGGAAACACAGTGAACATAAATGTACTGTGAATCGTTCCTGATAAGTGAATAAAACATTGTGACCAAACAATCAGCTTATTCACTTATCAGGAATCGGCTGTTCTGCTAATTCACTGTTTTTGTTTTTCATTTCTGTTGTAGTTCACTATTTTTGCTGTGTTCTGTTTTCTCCTCTCATGCTTGGGCAAAATCACTGGGAATATTATCTTACATGTGACCATGAAACGTTTCTATCGAGTGAAATGATATCTTAACAAAATCTATGCACTTGCTATCAGGAACACAATACTGGATGTGTCTTATATATATTGAACTATATAGTACTCGATTTCTTAAATAAAGCTTAAGAAAGGACTCTTGTGTGCAAAGTTAATGTGATTATTTTTCAAAGCAGTGTTTCTAAGGGGTATTTTTTGTTCTAAGTCTTGAGTGATACAGGATATTTTTCATTAAAATTATATCACTGGCTTTATGACTTAATATTCAATAAATTGACTTTGGAAACAAAATGGAGTGGGGGGAAGTTCTTCTGAGTGCATTTTAGTAAGAACTGTCAGGAAAACCATCCCCTTACCGGTGACCATGGCAACTTCTACCCGCGTGCTACAGTGGCCAAACAGTTCCTTCACCTCCAAAAGATCACTAGAAAGCATCAGAGTCCACCCTACCCTAGAAAACCCAACTGCCCTTCTGAGCTTCAGCTCATAAAAGGGACAAAAGAGACACAGAGCCAAGAGTAATACTGGTTTGTGTCAGTACTTTGCCGGAACGATGCGACACTAACACTGAACCCTGCTGGACAACAACGGCCGTTCTATTCACCACCACAAAATGAGAGACAGCGAGACAAAGCCTTTGATCATTCAGGATGAGAAGGGTGACATTTCAAAGTGGTATGTGAGAAAGAGACAGCCTAGAACAGTTGCAAAGCTTAAATGGGAGACCTGCTGCTTGGCCCTTTGAAAAAATATTTTTGAAATTTTTCCTGTAGGCCATAAGTTTGAACAGAATGGCATTTTCTGTTGGCTTTTTTGTGGCGGTGAGCAGCTTTGGGGTTTGTATGTTGGATTTGTTTTTCTTGTTTAACGTTTCATTCCAAGAAAAACTGCGAAATTTCTACTCACAAAATGGCACAGGCATCCTAATCCTTTATAAAACAAATCTTATTCATCCCTGGAAACGGGGGAGAGAACATGGCTAATAAAAATCCACTGATAATTCCAAATTATTCTTCTGGTCTCTGCCTCTTCCCACTCAAACTTGTCACACACCCAGAAACTTCTGGTGAAAACGAGGGATGAGAGAACTAACCAAGGGAGAGGAACAGGTAGCCAGCCGAAGGAGTCTGGGTAAACAGCCCTTACTGGCCCCCTGCAGTCGGGGGTGGGGCAGAGCAAACACTGTGAAAGCTCCTGGTCTGAGTAAAGCGGGCTCACTGTTGAGAGTTGACTGCATACAGAGATGCCCTACGGAAATTCTCCTCTCACAGTCTTCCCTTGTTAGTAACACAGCTAGAAACAGCACACATCCAAGGCCATTGTGAGTAGGAGGGCTCTGAACCGTGCACGAGCAAGAAAGAAAGAAACCAGCATATTCCCTTCCTTGCACCTCTAGACCAGGAGCTCCCAAGCCTCCCAAGCCAAAGATGCAGGGAGATGTGAGGTAGTTTAAGCCAGGTCTCTTGCAGAAGAGCTATTCTATGGGGAGTGCTGCATTTCATTTAACCTCTTTACTGGTCAGCAAATCAGACTAGCACCAACTTCTACTTGGCTGCACTGGGAGGATGTTTTTAAGGAGGGAAAAAAAATGTTTATACCTATGGACTGTGTTCACAACGGGCCAATTACAATGAAAGCTGCTCAGAACAATCCCCAGTTTGGGGAGATGATGATCCTGCTACCATGAGGCTGGTGTGAAAGGTACAGAAAGTGAGTACATTCTCTGGGGAGGCAGACTACCTTGGTTTGAATGCTAGCTTTCCCACTGATTGATCACCACGTAACCTCTCTAGGCCTTAATTTTCTCATAAGCAAAATGAACATAATAAGAGGCTGTTGTGAGGATTAACGACACCAATATATATTATATATTTTGATCCTATCTTAAGTACTCAATAAATGTCAGCCAGTTAAAAGCAGTGAGTGCCCACTGACATGGCCACCTGAACACCGCTGCTGGCCTGGTCTACTCCCTTCTCTGACCAGGTGTCCTCTTGGCCAGCCCCGGAAAGCCCCACAGCTTTCCCTAGGTAACTACTACAGGATAGGGCTGGACCAGAAACCCACAGCACTTCCAGCAGAGATCTCAGGACTCGTAAGGCTCAGAACGGGCATTTTCTCATGAGAAACTGCCCACTAGCGGCACCCCACCTTACAGGTTAGCACACCGCACACTTCTGCCTTCAGGCAGCAGACCAACAGCTCGCTGCATTCTCAGAAAAGAAAACCACTTCCTCACACTAAGCCACGCCATCCTTCGTCTTCAGTATTACATTTAGTCATCTTCCCCAAAAGGAAAGCTTAGCCTATCTAGTTTGTGCCCAAGGCAGAAGAGAAAAGATCACCTATCAGTTTGCCTATAGCAAGCCTGTACGTTCTAGGCCCTTGCAAGGCAAAGTGCTGTCCTTGGCACCAAGGAGAGTCATTCTATCCGTGAGCACTTTGGGAAGAGCAGAGGCTGTGCTCAGAAGCACAGATGCCGCCAAGCAAAGAGCTTTCTATATCCACCTTCACCCTACCCCCAGTTAAACCAAAAATACTGTTTTTACTTGTTTTACTTATTAGTGATGTATGTCACATTTTATTTAGAAAAAGTTTTGCTACTCAAAGCACAAACATTAAAAGCCACTGATTTAGCAGCGAGTAACTCTGAGATTTATCATTACCTAAACCTATGGCAAACACTGTCTGGGGAGTCACTGTCGTCTCTCTTCTTCCCTCGCCTCTTTAACCCTGCTGTCTTCCCAAAGTCCTCTGTCTGTGATGCAACACAGCATTCACTACTTATCTGTACTGTCTATTTGTCTGTTTGCTAAGCAACTCTGTGTTCTTTCAGGGAAGCAACTGTATCTCATCCCCGCATCCCCAGTGCCACAGTGCCTGCCATACAGTCAGTGTTTAAGAATGTTGGCTGGATGGACAGACGGATGGATGGGGAAATGGCTGGATGTGCCAGGCGCTTTGGCTCAGGCTAGACGAAAGCATTATTAAATGGACAATAACTCAGGAAGTACATGTGGAAAGAACTCTGGCTGGGGAATGGGCTGAGGAAGGCTGAAAGTGGGGCTTCTGGGCAGAAGTCAGGAAACAGTATTGGAGGTTTGGGACACAGATGGGAATGAAAAAGAACACTCATGCCTGTGCATCCCAAATGTACAGACAGATGCCCTTGTTGCCACAGAGCTCAGCAGCACTGGGTCCCGAATGCAAGGACACGTGTACAACTAGGTCAAGCTACTTCGGGTCTACCGTCATTCCCTTTTAGCAGAACTTCACACCCTCTCAGGAATGTTTTACAGCTAGGCAATGTCTCTTGATAGAATTTTAACATCTAAAAGGTCAGAAGAGCCAAAGAACTGAGTACCAATCAGTAGAAAACTATGACTGAAGGTGCCTGGTTCTGAAAAGCATGTGAACTCCTCTTCCCTGTTGCCCCATCACAACTGCTCTGGGACACGGCAAGTCAGAGATTACAGCAGGACAGGGTCTAGGGAGCCACAAGCAGCAAAGCATACCCGTGCCACCAGAACTGCCAGGAAGGCAACGGGTTCAAACTGCTGCTGGACGCCAACTAGCTCCAGGCATTCAGGCAATATCCTTAATTCCTTTGTGTCTCAACTTCAACAGCGCTTCCAAGGAGGCAGGGCAGGATTCATCATTCACCCATCCAAAACACAAGCACCCAAAAGCTAACCGACACCAGATAACCTGGTAGGGGCTGAGAATGCAAATAAATGTATCAACCCTGCCTCCATGAGTCTGCCATAACTGGCCTCTCTGCCAAATAAGGGGAAAGCCTATAAACAGGTAAGAGAATGGACACTGTGGCACCACGGTGCCTGGATGGGACTGTGTGCTGAAAACCCAGGAAGAGCAACCAGGGATATAGCTCAGTGGTGCCTGCCTGGCAAACGCAAGGTCCTCAATTCGATTCCCAGTACTGCACCACCACCACCTAAGAGTAACATCTCTTCCAGACTCTCTAGCCCAGTCATGGTGAACCCTTTACAGCTTTCAATGGTACAAACGGCCTACTGTGGCATGTGTGCCATAGGTTTGCCACCACTGCTCTAGCCCCCAGCTGATCTTACTACTGGTCAAACTCAGTGTCCCCGTGCTAGAGTTTACATCTCTGTCCTGGGAGAGAATAGCATGGGTGGTGAGGGCAGAGGAGCTGCTCCTGAAGTTTTCTACCTACAAATATCTCTCACAAGGGCAGAGCTGACCAAAGGGGACCTACATGTTCAAGAGTCACATTTACAAACTGGCCATCTATGGCACATTTTCACCAGTCCACAAAATATGACCCACCCAATAACTTCACCTCCTTAAACACTACAAACCGAGACGCTGGGAAGCTTATGAAGCAAGGGAGAGGAGGGGCTTCAGAGGAAACAGAGCTTCTGTGAGAATGAGGGCTGGAGGTTGCAGCGTGAGAAGAACGCCCTGTTGATCTGACACCCACCATCCGCCTGTAACTCCAGGGACCCAACCCCACAAGCTTGCATTCAGCTGTCACCTTCCCGCCCCGCCTGACTGTGTCCCCCGCCGAGGTGGCCCACTCAGTTTCTCCTACAAGCTTCCTGTTCCTAGCACCAATTAAAACCAGTAGCTTTAAAACGTTGCTGACTGCCTACTTTCCCTGGCACTTGCCTCTCAGCAGCGCAAGGGTCAAAGAAGGCTCTCAAGTGACTGCCTTGTCCCTGGGAAGCAAAAAAGCAAGTAAGGCAGTCCTCTGGTGTTAACCAGAGCAAACCAAAAAAGTATATACTGATACATCCTACACCCACACAATTACAACTCTCCAGCTTATCATTTGGATAAATCAACTTATAGTATAGTATTAATTTAGAAGCAGTGATCTAAAGTAATGTTTTCCAGATTAAATTATACAGACATTAACTACAAGTTAATCTTTGGAAAAAATAAATCTGGTAACCAAAAAGGTCTGAAAAGTGCTGTTAAACGTACACTCTTCTTGCAAATCCACAATGTGTAGTAACATATTAAATGCTCTGAATGGTCTCCCAACAAAATACACCAATTTAACTTTGTTTAACCTGGTGTTTAAGTTACGCATTTCTTCTTGAAATTTTTTTTATCATTCGATATCTGTTTAACCAGAGGGTTGATACAAGGTGGTAGTAAAGAGAGTAGACTTTGGAACAATACCACCTGGATTTGAATCATGATTCTGCCCCCAAGTTACTCAGTTTATCTGTATACAGTAATGGATATAATAATGCTAATACCTACCTATGTGCAAAGTATTCACAACAGTATTTGTATGTATTTTGTAACACAATAAGCATTACATAAGTGTTTATTAACATCTAGCAGAACCAGTGTTCTAAGACACTTGGGAAATGCTAGCAGAGCATTAGAATCCCTGTGGAATTCTAAGGAACCTATCTCAAGAAGATTACAAACTAATTGGAGAAAAGAATATATAATTATGACACAGTTTGTTAGATCATAAAAAGTAAAGACTTAGGAGCCAGAGAAGGAAAGAATAATATTTCTAATGATAAGGGAAGGAAAAGGAGAAATCCATAGCCAAACTGACATAAATCCCAAATGCAAGCAGTTATTTCATCAGGCAGAAGAGTGGAAAATGACAGCAGCAAAAGCAGGAAAAAAGAAGGGAGATGGACAACTAGGGGCAGGTGTGACAAGAAAGCCAAGGTGACAGCAGATGTCTTTGCAATTTATAAAGAAGAAGCCCATAACAACAGAAGTGGTGTAACGACACAGGCTTCTGAAAGGTTCACATCTGCACTGGTCTTGATCTCAGAAGGTATGGGCCAGAATACACAAATAGGTGCTAAGGAGCTCATCCTGCAAGAATGTCAAGAGGAGAAGAGGACCTGCCCTGAACTGTGAGCCATACTGACAGCAAGATCCAGGAGAATGGTACTTACGGAGCTCGTTGGAAATGCTCTAGACCACCTGGGATGTTAACTTTTGGTGCTATAGTACACTCTGGTCAGGAACCCTTTTCAGTGGCAGCCTCTCCTTCCCTGATGACAGAGCCTGGGTCTTCTATCCAGTTGATGTAGTTTGAGTCCCTTCTCCCTCTTTCATCCTGCCTGAGGGACTTCCAAGTGCCATGTGCATCCACGAAACTGTTCCAGAATGTGTTCCAAAATGACCAAGTCCCAGTGTATGAGGACCAGCCCCCAAGATGCCATAAGACCACACAAAGAGGCAGGCAGATCCAAGACTGCACAGAGTGAAATTTAGTGGAGACTTACTGACAGAAGCACAGTTCTGGGTGACAGTAAAACCAGGCAGATCTCCACAGCTTGGGTCAGTAGCTGATAAAGTGGTTGGAACAAAGGTGATTGCACTCAAACCAGAATGTACCTAGTTTATCTCAAGCCAGTATCAGAGTCAGGAACATTCCTGATGGTAGAGCTGCACGTGGTGTTATACAACTTTTTCAATTTATAGTGTGCAGGGAAACTGTGGGAAAAACCAAACCGGGTTACTCAGGAGCAACCCTGAGGCAGTTATGATTCAAGATGGCCACAGTTATATCAACCTGAAGCCATATAATACAGCTACTTGACACAGGGACATGCTGAAATACCTGAATTTATAAAGCAATATATTTCCAACACTTGCCTCATTACCAGTGGTACTGGCTCAAAGGTACTCACCCTATCCCTGATACCCTTCATTCTGCTGTCCACTCCGTGGCCAAAGTGCATCCCTGAGGTTCACTGGGAGAAAAAATGTCTGCTGTACACATTACTTGGTAGTTTTTTCTCCTTTTTGTCATGCCTCTGTCAAAACAGCTGCATCAAAACCATTATAAATTTTTCTATATCAAGCTATGATACTTTCTAACACCACCCAGATTACTCAAATCCCCAGTTAATAGTAGCTCACGAATTAGCTGCCTGCCTTGACTTGCAGCTGAAAGCTCTTCCAAATCCTTATCAGTCACATCCCTTCCTGCGTGAAGACCCTGTTCTCTTTTTGCTGACTTTCTACTTTCAGACTGCCTCAGCCAAGACACGTGCTATACTGTGAACCTGCAATACAGTGCTGGCCGGAGTTCTACCTGCAAGCTCCCAGGGCACAGGTGTCTCCCAGCCAAATGCTGCACCTGCTACCTGCTAGCATTCCAACCAGGAAGGGGTGCCCACTCCAAAAATGCCTAACAAGCTCCACTTACCAACAGAAGTCTTTCATTTCACACTTAGCTAAAACGCTTAAAATGCAGCAATTTTAAAACTGGTAACAATTAAACAATAACAATTCCACCTGATAACATGAATGGTTCTTCTTTGAAGAGTGATTTTAATCAAACAGAGTAGCTGACACAAAGAGCCTGAAAGGAGAAGGCAGGACATGGTCAGTGGCTGCCCAAACACAAATTACTTCTACCCCATAAAACTGCTATTGGCACCTTTACTGCGTCAGGCGCTGTACTATAGGGACTTGCCACATATTATCGTCTTTAATCCTCAGAGCGACAGGACATTATGGTTCCATTTTGTAAGCGAGCCAACTGGTTTTACGAATGAAGTGTCTACCTAAGGCCAAACAGCCAGTGTACTGCCCCCGCCCCGGGCCTACACACTGGGAGGCGCTCACCTGGGTTCTCCCAGAAATGAGGTCCAGCCGACACCTGGTCTGCTGTGGGCTGGCGCTGCTTTTCAACGGCTCAGCCAACCAAGACGGCCTCAACCCACGGCCTCGCCGCACAGCGCACAGCACGCCCAGTGGAGAGCGAGGCGCGCCTTCTTCCGGCGGGTAAGGCCCGGAGGAACCTGGGACATCCGGTTCCGTGCAAAGCACTGTGGGTTGCAGAGGGGTGAGGGGTGGGCGGTGCTCTAGAAGCCACGCCCACAACCCTTTCTGAGAGTCCTGTGGTGCGGAATTTGTTCTCCTCCGTTCCTGCTCTCTGGTTCCCAGTCCAGCAGAGTGGAGCCAAAAGCAGCCACATTCACCATTGCTGTTTTCTTTTCTGGCTCCAACCCTCTGCCTGTTCCCCACTCCAGAGTATTTTGCCTCTTAGGTAGAAAAATAAAACTGACCAGCAAACAATTTTTCTGGTATTTCTTACCCTAATGCTCAGTTCTTAAACACAAATGCCAAGCATTCGGTATTCTCTTCTTTGACTTCACTCTCCTGTGGGGTAGGGGTGCCACAGAAAATGCACGACACATTTAAATGGGCACATTTAAATCTCAGAAAGAAGAGCTGGGCGTGGTGGTGCACTCCTGTAATCCCAGTACTTGGGAGGCTGAGGCAGGAGGATCCTTTTGAGTTTGAGACCAGCCTCGGCTACAAAGTGAGCTTAAGGCCAGCCTGAACTGCATAGTGAAACCATTTCAAAAAGACAGAAAAAAAAAAAAAGATATAAATTTCAGAAAAAGCACTAAATACTTCACAGGATATGCTTCTACTAAAAATTGTTATTTATGTGATTTGAATATAAATTGGTATTGTGTATTTTTATTTGCTAAATCTGGCAACTCTGTTTTGGAGAAACAGAAGCTTCTTTTCTGGTACCCTTAATGGGGGTAGTGCTGAGGGACGAATGGTATGGAAGGTTATGTTATTATTTCACAATATCATTTTCCCATACAAATAAAAATGTATCCCTTTTATGAACTCTGATTCTCAGTACTGGAAAAAAAAAAACAAAAAAAAAGAGAGATTGAAACCTTTTATGAACTCTGAGGACACATAATAGGATGCATTATCTGTTCAATCTATGGAATTGAACAGTCTCAAGGTATTTGGAACAAAAAACCCGCCGTGTATTACATAAGGTACGAAGCACACATTTCTGCAGGTACACTTATTGCAACCTGCTCTCCTGTGACTGTGTTTCGGTCAGGAACATTCAGACCAAATAGATGCAGAGGAATTCAATAAAATAAAATTCTGCAAAGCCCCAACGCCCCCCACACACACACGCAAACTGATGCTTCTCTGAGCAACCAGAACCACAAAGTGCTCTTCAGGTGGGCACTTGCTCTTGTGTGGTAACTTGGACAAGTTACTTTACATCTCTGCACCGAAGTAGCATCTCAGTAGAAAGCCTGGCACATAACATGTTCGATATAAGCTTTAGAGTCAGAATTGGCGACTGAACTGAAGTAGCAGCAAAGACATCTTGTAAGTATTTTAAGTCCACTGAGAAAAAGAACTCTAGCTATCCACCTTCTCAGATATCTCTGCAATGAGGGAGAATGTGACTGAGGTTGAACATTGAGTCTCTTATAAAAGCAAACCGTCAGTGTTTGGAGGGACTGCACTGTGCCTCAGATGTGTCCTTTGCCACTCATGTTCCTAGTTCTAGAGACTCCTCTGCTCTGCCTGGGACTCCATGGAGAGGCTCTGTGGAGACGCAGGAGATCGGAAAGGCATGAGTTGCTTTTTCCAACGATATGCCTGCCCAGAGCCAACCTTGCCCAGCTGTCTTACATCCACTTGCCGCTCCCATCCTTTCCCCAGCATCCCCCTTCCACCAACCTGATTAATAGGCTCCTACTTCACATTTCTCCTTTCCGACTGAAGTTGCCACAGTTGCAAGCAACTGTATCTATTGATAAGACGGTGACCGCACCCATACACACACAAACTGGACCTCCAAACCCATTTATGAAGTGTTTATCCTTCCTTTTTGAGAGAAGGAGAGGGGGAGAGGGGAAGGAACAAAATTTGTATGCAAAAATTTGAGAAAAAATAGCTTTGGGCTTGAGAAAAAGGTTGATTTTCTTCTTCATCCAAATGGGCTCCTTTGGCCTGTATCCCTGTTACATTTAGGGGTCACTCCAGCTTTGCATCTATCATGCCCCAAAAGAGGCTTGAACTGAGTTTTCCTCCCACTCTGGGCTTTAGTCCAGGCTCCAGGTCCCCTAGGCAGTGCAGGACAAAACAGCAGGACATTGTTTCATTTCTTCTCACCCAGGCTTCTCTGGCTCTGCTCAGTTTGCGTTCAGAGTCATGGTATGGAAGCCTCCTCTGCCCGCGTTCTTCCCGGATGAGGAAGAAAAGTGACATCCACCTCCTGTAGATTTTTCAGTGAGTCAGAAACAGCACTTCTTCCTTCTATTTTCCACAGACACTGGAAATTGTCATAATTTGCCAATAGATGTATCATTCTTAAGCCTATCTTCCTTTGCCGCAAGGAGATTTGTTTACATAAGCTACGGCAACGGCCCAAACAACCAGGGAGGGACGTACTTGCGTGTGTGCCCGGCGATGGCAAACCTACAGCATATGCGCTGCCGCAGGATGTTTGTATCTTTGAAAGCTCTAGAAGGTGTGCTATCACTGCTCTAGGAGTTGGAAGCAAACAGACAGAGTAGGAATCTTCCTGATTGAGCACCTGTTAACACCAGCCTCACGGGGACATCCTGGTGGGCAAATTCATCTGCGCAGGGGTGGGGCTTCTACCCACCTGTGATGGTTGGTGCAGAAAAGGCCTCTGGCAAGGCACTGAGCAGCCCTCACAATGAGAAGAGGATACTCTGAGGGAGACTTCAGGAGACCAGAACCTGTTTCTCCTTTGGCCACACTGAAGTCCGCTCCTTTTCCTCGGGGGCACCCACGCCTTTTGTTCTCCTTTCGCATGCCTCTCGGTCTCTGGGCATCTTTTGCAAAGCACATCAGGCCTCCTCATTAGGTGGAAAAGTGAGGAACGCTCCAAAGAAAGGAAGAAAACTTACTTCATGACTGCTTTCTTTCTAATCAAGACTCTTGACTTTAAAAAAACCCTTGGGTTGGGGAGAGAGAAGGACAAGCGTTAGTAGCTGCAAAGTCATAAAGCGTCTGACCCAAACTCCTTCTTCCTCCCTGCTCAGAACTGTAGGAAAAGTCAAAGTCAAAAGCAGAAAACCATGAGGCAAAAGCAGCAGCAGCGAACCCTCTTTAAGCAAATGTTAAATGCACCTATGATGGCAATAAATAATAAGGCAGGATGGAGCATACATGGTGTAAACACCTTTGATACAATTCTAATGGTTTTTGCTTCAAGAGCCACAGATTGTTATGGCAACAAAACAGAAAAACAGATCACAGTATTAATTTGATATCTCGGCTTCATTTGTTCCACATTTGCAATACAAAGCGTGCATAATAAACAGCCGGGCCTGAGCCAAAGCAGAGAAACCGCCTGCCCCACGGAAGGGCGCCACGGAGCACCCTCTCGGCCTTGAGTTTTGTCAAATAAAAAATAAGTAATGATTTTTTACAAAGAATGGCAGTTCTGCTCTGCACACAGTTTGACCTTGGGCAGTAGCACTCGGGGAGCTGATCATTCCACCCTTGTCATCAGGATGGTGGCACCAACGAGGCAGGAGAGGCAGCACAGCAGCGTGGGGAAGTTCTCCCTCTGCTGTATGTGTTTTTTGTTATGTTTTGTTTTGGTTTGGTTTGGTTTTATGTCTTTTTGAGACAAGGTCTCACTATGCAATGTAGTCGAGCCTTGAGCTCACTTTGTAGCCCAGGCTGGTCTCCAACTCACAACAGTCCTCCTGCCTCAGCCTCCTGAGTGCTGGGATTACAGGCATGCACCACCACACCTGGTTGATGCATGTGTTTTGAGCTGATGAAATTCAGTTGCCGGGCTCTGGACTCTTCAGGTGCCCCATCCCTCCCACTGACTCACTTTTTACTTTGCATCCAGAATGAGCCTTTCATATTGAGTTATATAATTAATGAACCCTTTATAAGTTGAAAATGCCATGTCAGAAATATCCTAAGTCCAAAATGAATGTCGTACACCTAACCAAGCAAACATCATGGCTGAGCCGCAAAGGACACTGTAGTGTTGGTTGTGAGGAAGAGAGAACTATGCAGACAAGAAGCTGGATTGCATAACAAAGCTGAGACTAACCCCATGGTCACCCCAAACACTGTCAACATCAGATCCCATGAAAGCTGCTCACTTCCCTGCCGGAGCATAAGCCATCAGTAGAGCATCCTGTAGAGAAAAAAACAGTGGCTGAATCACCAAGGAGTGTTGGGCAAACTGCTCCCTCTTCTGGCCTCATGGAATGAATCTCACCATCTTAGCCATGATATCCAGGCCTGCGGTCTTTCTCTCGCCAGCTCCTAAGGAGAGCCTGTTTGGGGAAAAGCAACCTGATAGCCCCAAAAGTTCTCTGATAATGGACTTTCGCGTTATTTCTTCTATAATAAACCAGCATTTTATATTGCCGTGTATGTATGTGTGGCCCTCAGGGGCAGGATTCAGTGAATCCTACAGGCTGGATGGATCTAAGTGTGTTTGTTTTACAGGGACAGAGTCCTGACACTCTGTGTTTCCTCTTTTCTGTAGGACCTACCATGGCATGGATCCTATACATCTGCCCAGAGTGTATCTAAAGGCAGAGAGCCAGTGCCCAGGGAAGGGGAAACGGAAATGGGAAACAGACCCTTGCGATGTAGTAAAATCCAGAGGACGGAGCTTTGAAGATTCTGGCTCTGCACCTCCAAGTGGGGAGACTCCAAGCCTGGATAACCAGAGACTGGGGCTCCTGGTCTGGGTCCAGGACACACAGAGGACCTTTGATCCCTCACATCCTCCTGCAAGGTGGCAAGGTAGAGCCCGGGAAGGAGCCTTGGTATGTGACCTTGTTCTACCTCTACTTTGGGGGTGAAGTTGAGTAAGTCACTTAACTTATCTAGACCTCTCTTCTTACCTGTGAAAGACTAAATTAGACAGGTAGTAAGAAGTGACCCAACCTGTGACTAAGATGGTGCATGCTAAACAATAATAACAGCAAATA